ATGTCAATTGGTATACCATCTATTCCTGGGGCCTTATTTTTTGCTACTTCCTTCAAAACAGCTTGAGCTTTTCCTTCATCACCAAAGGCTCTTGCTCATATGTTGCTTCATGAAATTCTTCTGTGTCTGCCAATTCCTTTCGATACAATGACTCAATATATTCTTTCCATCTTCTTTTAATACTTCCGGGATCATTTAATATTCTGTTGAAAGCATCCTTGATTATAACAACTCGAGGTTTGAATTTGTTCATCAGTTCCTTGAGCTTAAGAAATGCTGAGTGAGTTCGGTCCTTTTGACTTTCTGACTCCAACTCCTTGCACATTTCATTGTACTATTTTGCTTTGTCATCCACGCTGCCTTTTGAAATCTTCTGTTCAGCTCTTTAGTATTTTGAATTCTTCCGTGTGCTTTGGCTTCTCTCTGCTCCAATGCAATATTCAGAGTTTCTTCTGACATCCATCCTGGTCTTTTCTTCCTCCTCTGTCCTTGTAATGAACATTTGCACTCTTCCTGGATGATACCCTTGATATCCTCCCACAACTCATCTGGTCTGGGCTCATTCGTGTTCAAGGCCTCAAAGCTGTTCCTGAGATGGTTCTGAAATTCAGGTGGGATAGACAAAGTTATGTTTTGGTTCCCATGGATTCGGTTTAATTTTTCTCAGCTTCAGCTTCAACTTGCAAATGAGTAGTTGGTGGTCTGTTCCACAATCAGCTTCTGGCCTAGTTTTCACAGCTAATATTGAGTTTCTCCAGCGGTTCTTTCTGCAGATGTAATCTGATTCCCATGCATACCATGATGTGAAATTCATGTGTATAACCTGCGTTTATGTCTCTTAAAAATGTGTTTGCAATGAATAAGTCACTGATTGTACAGAATTCAATCATTCTATTTCCAGCTCCATTCTGTCACCAAGTCCATGTTTTCCAACTACTGTTTCCTCTCTGTTCCCAAGTTTTGCATTCCAGTCACCCATTATTATAGCTCCCCATAATATTTTAAAGTGTCAGATTGTCTTTATTTGTTTCACTGATGGGAGCCTCAATTAATACATTTAAAACTGTTTACTTAAACTTGAAAATGAGATGGAGTTTATTTAAGCAAACAGTTTTCTAAGAACATAAAAGAGTATTTGTTATTCAAAAGGAATTTTAATATAGAATTAGGTTCAATAATTACATCAATAAATAGAAAAATGCATTCAATAAAATTCTAGAAGATATAAAATACTTAGCCTTGATAGAAACTTCTTCAATACGATTTTTTAAAGTATTTCTTCGACATAAGGGGGGAAAAACACTTAATCAGTCAACATGATACTGAAGTATATATGAGGGATTCACAGAAAATGAAAAACAAGAAACTGGAGCTATAAACAGAATTATATACTACTAGGTTTAAATGTACTAGCAATATGCAATAAGATACAAAACTAAGGCCTGAAGTATTTTTAAAAAATATTCACATTTTTTTCCAGATGGTTGGTTTCCAAATAATGTCCCAGATATTTCACTTAATGAACTATTAAAATTACTAGACTTTAGTGAAGTTGCTAGATACAAAATAAATTGCTTACTAGCTTTCAGTTATATCACCCAGGACCAGTCAGGATACATAAAAACACTTTCATCAAAAACAAACAAACAAAACAAAAAAACAAAAAACACTTTCATCACAATTTATCACTCACATTGCTAGTATTAAAGAAATTAATCAAAAGTTATTTTATATTTTCTCTTATATTCATTCATCTTCATGTTTAGTGTCTTAGAATTTTAACAGAATAAAGAATCAAGGAAAAATTGACACTAAAATTTAATCAACAGCAGATAACTAAGTTATTCTATAATTTTAATAGTTTTGGTCCTTTATGTTATATGTAAATTATCATGCATAGTGTTAATGATTTTGGATTTAAAAATACATGTATTCTATAAACTACACACTCCTGGGCTTCCACAAGAAAAAGACTGATAACCCAATTACAAAATTGGCAAAATCAATTGAAAGAATTTTCACAGAGGAAGATATTCAAATGACCAATAGACATATGAAGAAGTGTTCCAAATCACTAAAAATAAGAGATGCAAATAAAAATCACAATGAGATACCACCTCACTCCAGTAGCAGTGGCAAAGTTTAATAGGACAGCAAGTAATAAATGCTGGAGAGGATATGGTGAGATAGGAACTCTTTTACATTGCTAGTGGTATTGTATAATGGTAGTATATGATTGTACATGTTTGTACATGATTATACATGAAGGCAGTTTTGCGATTCCTCAAAAAGCTGAACAGAGAAATTCCAGATATGCTACTACGTGGAATATACTCCAAGAAAATGAGAACTGAGGCTCAAACAGAAACTTGTACACCGATGTTCATAGCAGCATTATTCACCATCGTAGGAACAAGGAAACAGTCCAGATGTCCAACAACAAAAGAATGGATTGAGAAGTTGTGGTAGATTCATACAATGGAATATGATGCAACACACAGTAGCACAGTACAATCATTTTTTAAATTACTACCTAACTTGGGAGGGACTGGAAGGCATTATGCTGAGTGAACTAACTCAGTCCCACAAGGCCATATACTGTATAAAACCATTATTTTAGAATGAGTATGAGGATCCAAGGGGGAAGGGTGGAAATGGAAGGATGAGGATGGCAGGGGTGGCGGTAGAGTGTTAAATCATAGGGATGCACAATTCGATGGGTGAGTGGGGTGAAGAAAATGGGAAGGATATTTTGTGAAACATAATGTATTCAATCTTTGTAAATAAATCAGAATAAAATAAAAAAAGAAACACACACACACAAAAAAGGAAAAATCATCTATGTTTTATCAGTTTCATTTTCCTTGTTCTTGCTGTTGTGAACATCAATATATAAGTCTTTTTTTAAATGCTTGATCTCATTGTCATGTTTACATTCAAATAATATTCTTTACAATTTTTCTTTCACTAAGAAACAATGGTTTCTGTATCATCTTTTATTCAAAACTTTAAGAAATGAAACCACCAGAACTGCCACCTAAGCAGATATATGCACACCCATGTTGATTGCTGCATTGTTCACAATAGCAATGAGATGGAAACAACCCAAGTACCAATCAACAAATGAATGGCTAGAGAAGCTGTAGTATAGTCACACAATGGAATACTATGCAGAACTGGAAAACAAGGAACTCATGAAATATTACACAAAATGGGTGACCATGGAGGACATTATGCTAAGGGAAAGATCTCAGTTAAAAACAAACAAACAAACAAACAAAAAAACACCAAAAACCCAAAAACAAATATTGCATAATGCCGCTGTTATAAAACAGGACTGACATCAGGGATGGGGAAAACTAAGAAAAGAGGGGATAAAATATGTACACGCAATGAAACAGATGAGGGAGAGAACAGCTTAAATGGAACATATGATTCGGTATTATGTGCATGACAACAGTCCAGAATAAGAGTTGCATAGAAAAGTGGACTGCATGGGGGAGGAAACTGTGTAACAATGAAAGATTTTTTTTTCTTTCTCAAAGAGAAAAGCAAACTGCAGGGGAGGGGTGTGCAGGGAGGCAAATGTGCAATAATGAATAAATGGAACCCATGTTCTCTATAAACTTTCATTTAAATCTTAATTTTTAAAAAAAAGCAAACCAAAAAATTGGTCCCAGAAAAACCTGATACTGTACTTTTCAAGTATTCAAATATCCTTGCATAGGTTCATTTCCAAAATAAGTGCTTTAATGGCTAATGTTTTATAATTTTATACACACACACACACACACACACACACACACACACACACACACACACACACACACACACGGCTATAATTCTCAGTAGTTTGGCAGACACTGGAAAGATCTTCCATAATGTAACATAAGGTAATCCTCTCCAGAATGTGATTTTATATAACCAAAGCAGGAGTGGCATCTACTTCTTAAACAACATGCCTCTGGAAACTCCATGAACTTTGATAAGTGTCAATATTTATAGAAAGGCTTCAGGCCTTTTGTCCATAGGGTCACTGAATTGTACTCAACTTGATGGCAATCAACAACATCAGCATTATCAGCTGAAAGAGGAGTTTCCTTAAGGATGAGATCTGTGTCCAGTATATAAATTAACATTCTCAAAAGGCATTCACTCTTGAGCATCTTGGCATGCTCTCGCACAATCTCACTTTCTCAAGCATGAACTTTACTTGTCGGATGCACGGATGCTGAAGTTTTCAACCAAATATGTGACATGCAGATTTTTAGATTTGATATCTCTTTCAACCTCATTAGAGAGAAGAAGCCTCCAGCCAGCCACCAGGTCTACAGATTTTTAGTTAATCAGTCCTTGCAAACATACGAGCCAATCATCTGACCCACAGATTTGGCACTTGCCAGCCCACCTCACTCTATGAACCATTTCCTTGAAATAAATGAATATTATTTATTTATTATATATACTTTACTGGCTTTTCTCATCTAGAGAACCTGTACTAAGACACATGCATACAATTATGACTAAGCACTTTGCCAGTCCTACATTATACTCTTTTAACAAAATACACTCTGAGGCTCATTCCTCATATATGTTTCATAGTAGACAGCAGACGGTGAGCAAATCTATCCTTTTTTCATAGCATAAAGCCCAACTTTTATTATAATTTTTATTATTACTGGCTTACTTCTGACTAAATTAGGCTTCAATTTCTAAAAAAATACATGGTGAGCTGAAAATGAGCACCTACTTCAGTATGGCTGCCAAAGAGAGCCGTAAAACCGAATTAATACAATCCACTCTCAGTCTCAAGAGACCTAACAAGATGATAGGAAATTTTACATACTAAAACTTAGCTTTATTGTAACTATTATCCATTTGTTACAACAGAGTTAAGTTCTCTAAACTGAAAAGTCTAAAATGTTAAAATCCATTAAAAACAGCAAAAGAAAAGTCCTAAAACAACAGCTCCTCAATGCGAAGCTTTGGGGGGCACTTACCCAAGTCTTCCTAACATCTCAAGCTCAGGAACCTGTGGTCCACATGACTCTATCTGCAACGGCTGGTATTCATACAATGCTTCTTCAAGCTTTTGAATAGGTTGTAATGAAATATGTTGACCCTGTTCAAAAAACAAAAGAATTAACACTTTTCAATATTACTTTCATATTGCTACATATTTATAGTTATTTTAAAGATGGATTAAATTTTTCAACAGTAAAAACATTATCCAGTGTGTCTATTGTCCCATGAGTACAATGTATCACATTACTAAAACCCACATTCTAAAATTAACATATGGTCACTGACATATTTTAAAGGGAGAAAATAAAATCTATCATTAAATTCAAATTTAGCTTTAAACAGTACAGTTTGTTCAGTGTGAATAGCAGATATCACAAAATAAATTAAGTGCACTCTATTGCCATATCTTAATTTTTTATTATATAGTTTTGAAATTTAATCAGGTTTGTTGCAACCATAATGAAAGATGGTAATAAAATTATTCTTTGTAAAGTTTGCCAGATAAATAACTAGTCACTTAAGTTTTTAAAGTTAAGTCACATTTACTTACCTGGTGTGTACATACAGTGTATAAATATATATGCAAAACTAAAATTTTTTGCTAAAATCTGATAAAATGAATAAAGACTTCAAAGTATTTTCTTAAAAGAAAGTTTATCCTGGATAACTAGAGCAAATTAATGAAGATACTTGATCACAAGTGTGATAATTTAAAATGACACACAGCCAAGTATCATCATTATAAATTCAGATTTATAAATTTATAATACATCTGGGCATAGAATTCTCATTTTTAAAGAATCTGGGTTTTTTGTGTTTTTTTAAATAATTTTAATGAGCATTTACAGAGATTTTGGATTTCCATTCATTGGTTGATGCACTTCTCTCCCCCCCTCATCCCTCCCTCCCCACACCCCAGTTTGCTCCTCTCTTCCAAAAGTAAAAGAAACACTCCTTCCCGGGTACACAATCCCCCCACACCCCTCCCACTGCCCCAAGCACATTCCTTTATGCAACCTGAATTGTGGACTCTTATGATGACCGTAAGACCCTATCATACATCGCTTTTAAATTATTCACTCCCTCATCTGTTTCAGTGCAGTATGCACAATTTATCCAGTTTTTCTCAGACTTACCCCAACCCTTTATCATACGGTCAGCCGACTCAAAATGATAAAGGGATGATTATCCAAAAATGACTGGAACAGCACATCAACAGAGAACTGCCAGAAGTCCAGGCTGGGTTTAGAAGGGGTCGTGGTACTAGGGATATTGTTACCTGATGTTAGATGGATCTTGGCTGAAAGCAGGGAATACCAGAGGAATGTCTATCTGTGTTTCACTGACTATGCAAAGGCATTTGACTGTGTAGGTCATAACAAACTATGGCTGACTCTGAGAAGAATGGGAATCCCAGAACACTTGATCGTTCTAATGCAAAACTTATACTTGGACCAGGAGGCAGTCGTCAGAGCAGAGCAAGGGAACATTGCATGGTTCAAAATTGGGAAGGGCGTACGCCAGGAATGCGTCCTATCTCCATACTTTTCAACCTATATGCAGAACAGATTATCCGGGAGGGTGGGCTCTATGACGAGAAATGTGGGGTCAAGATTGGTGGA